TTTAAGTAAGATGATAACATAATACATGTTAATTATTATCTACATCTATGGTGGCATATAATCACTAGTAAGCAAGAATTTTAAAAGGCTGCGGTTAAATGAGTACATACTTGCTGTATTTTTCAGGTCGAGTGGGAAATGATTCAATAAATGAACGAACAGCAGAATATGACAAACTTGTTTTATATAGATCTAATCTAGGCTTCGGCAAATTTAAACAATTTAGCCTTTTGCTCTTCTTAGGGTTGGTTTGAATCAACCGGAAAAGATAATCTGCAGTGTTCTGAGCTAAAATTTTATGGAAAAAAATTGGATTTTTTAGAAATTAATCGTTCATTAAATGGGAGAATTCTTAAATGCTATAGAGATTATTTTTGTCGGTGTGTTTTCTATCTGAGACTAGGCTAATTAGGTAGCCAAGTACATTATTCACTTACTGGCTTACTAGCTAGCCAAGTACATTATTCACTTACTGACTTACTAGCTAGCCATGTACATTATTCACTTACTGACTTACTAGCTAGCCATGTACATTATTCACTTACTGACTTACTAGCTAGCCAAGTACATTATTCACTTACTGACTAACTAGCTAGCCAAGTACATTATTCACTTACTGGCTAACTTTGTGACTTAATAGCTAGCCAAGTACATAATTCACTTACTGGCTAACTTTCTAGACTTACTAGCTAGCCAAGTACATTATTCACTTACTGGCTAACTTTCTAGCCATGTACATTATTCACTTACTGACTTACTAGCTAGCCAAGTACATTATTCACTTACTAACTTACTAGCTAACCAAGTACATTATTCACTTACTGACTTACTAGCTAGCCAAGTACATTATTCACTTACTGACTCACTAGCTAGCCAAGTACATTATTCACTTACTGGCTAACTTTCTAGCCATGTACATTATTCACTTACTGACTTACTAGCTAGCCAAGTACATTATTCACTTACTGACTTACTAGCTAGCCAAGTACATTATTCACTTACTGACTTACTAGCTAGCCAAGTACATTATTCACTTACTGACTTACTAGCTAGCCAAGTACATTATTCACTTACTGGCTAACTTTCTAGCCAAGTACATTATTCACTTACTGGCTAACTAGCTAGCCAAGTACATTATTCACTTACTGACTAACTAGCTAGCCAAGTAAATTATTCACTTACTGGCTAACTTTCTAGCCAAGTACATTATTCACTTACTGACTTACTAGCTAGCCAAGTACATAATTCACTTACTGGCTAACTTTCTAGACTTACTAGCTAGCCAAGTACATTATTCACTTACTGGCTAACTTTCTAGCCAGGTACATTATTCACTTACTGACTTACTAGCTAGCCAAGTACATTATTCACTTACTGACTTACTAGCTAGCCAAGTACATTATTCACTTACTAACTTACTAGCTAGCCAAGTACATTATTTACTTACTGACTTACTAGTTAGCCAAGTACATTATTCACTTACTGACTAACTAGCTAGCCAAGTACATTATTTACTTACTGGCTAACTTTCTAGCCATGTACATTATTCACTTACTGACTTACTAGCTAGCCAAGTACATTATTCACTTACTGACTTACTAGCTAGCCAAGTACATTATTCACTTACTGACTTACTAGCTAGCCAAGTACATTATTCACTTACTGACTAACTAGCTAGCCAAGTACATTATTTACTTACTGACTTACTAGCTAGCCAAGTACATTATTCACTTACTGGCTAACTTTCTAGCCAAGTACATTATTCACTTACTGGCTAACTTTCTAGCCAAGTACATTATTCACTTACTGACTTACTAGCCAGCCAAGTACATTATTCACTTACTAACTTACTAGCTAGCCAAGTACATTATTTACTTACTGACTTACTAGTTAGCCAAGTACATTTTTCACTTACTGACTAACTAGCTAGCCAAGTACATTATTCACTTACTGGCTAACTTTCTAGCCATGTACATTATTCACTTACTGACTTACTAGCTAGCCAAGTACATTATTCACTTACTGACTTACTAGCTAGCCAAGTACATTATTCACTTACTGACTTACTAGCTAGCCAAGTACATTATTCACTTACTGACTAACTAGCTAGCCAAGTACATTATTCACTTACTGACTAACTAGCTAGTCAAGTACATTATTCACTTACTGGCTAACTTTCTAGCCAAGTACATTATTCACTTACTGGCTAACTTTCTAGCCAAGTACATTATTCACTTACTGACTTACTAACCAGCCAAGTACATTATTCACTTACTGACTTACTAGCCAGCCAAGTAACTAATTGACGGACAAACAATCGTCTTTCATTTTGCACAACCAGAGAGTACAACGTACGGCGAACGTTTATTTTAGAAACGACATTTCAATGAATAATTGATTGAAATATGACCCGATATTATAATGTATTGACAAGCTTCAAAGTCGTAATTTGTCTCCTGGTCACGTGACTCTTGCTTGCGTCTGGTATACTTCGGTTTTCTTGGGACATCTGTTGTTGTGTGGACAGGTCGTGTCGCTTGGGCGGCTCGTCATGGATTTCAACCAGAGACGGGTGAGTACACAGTTGACTTGATTGTTTCAAACACGCAACGTAGCTCAGCGAGCACATGAAATGATGGTACACAACATACAGTAAATTGCTGTTTGGTAATCGTAACTTTTTTTGGTGGGGGGGGGGGGGGGGTTAGTAATAGACCCATTCATCCTATACAAGCATGTCGTAAATGGCGACTAATTGCAAATTTGCTGAATATGTGATGGGAGGATAGGTAAAAATATGACAACCTAGCTGTAAAATACAACACAGCCCACCAACCACCCTTTTAAAGCAAATACAGGAGAAGAAGAATGGCTAACAATTGAAGAGCATCCAACAGGATTTTTTTAACCTTAGATGAGTTGAACTGATTCAAGAACCGACATCACAGCAACTAAGCGCTCCGTCCTTATCTTCAGCAGCCAGCGCCGAGTTCCAGTATCATTAGTGCTAGTAGCATTCTGATTATACGCCCGTCTCGCCTTTCCTCTGAGCGTCGAGTATTGGCCAAATAACTTGATCACGTTAGCTAAGATGATCGTGGGTTGTGCAAAGCTCTCAGTAGTTGACTAGCTGTTCTGCGGAGAGAGACCGAGCCATGTGCATTAAAACCCGGTGCAATGAAGTCTTTCCTTTATACTTTAACCTTATATATACATATATATATATATATATATATATATATATATATATATATATATATATATATATATATATATATGTGTGTGTGTGTGTGTGTGTGTGTGTGTGTATTTATATATATATATATAGAGAGAGAGACAACATCACTTCGGGTAACGAACACATCTAGTAACGAGAAAATATCAACAGGAACACAATTTTCGAACAAATTGCGACAAGACAAGGAAATCTCGGCGTACAGACGCACAAGCATGTTTCTGGTTGGCGAACAATATCATTTGTACTCAGGTTTGCTCGCTGGGGACATTGTAGTTGCGTTCTTCTTGATACAATTTTGGGGCATTAAATTTACCTTTATTATGGTAGTATGCAATGAATATTGCACAGAAAACTGTCTCGCTCCAGCCCAACGTGGCAGATACCGGCTATTAAAATAGTCTGTGTACTACTTTCAAAAACTGTGAAAGTGACTACAGCAAGGCATTTGACTGCGTGCAACACCATATACTGTGGCATTTAATGAGAGACATAGGATTTCCAAAACATCTGGTGCACTTAATGGAATCTCTTTACCATGAACAATAAGCAGCATTCGGAGTAGCTGGAGAAACATCAGAGTGGTTTGAAGTGCAGACAGGAGTGAGACAGGGCTGCATCCTTTCTCTGTCTCTTTTAAACTTACACGTTAAAAATTTTATGAGAAACGCAATTGGCGATGAGGTATGTGAGAGCTTTGATCCACTAAAAATTGGAGGTAATCCTATCCCAAAAATCAGATAGGCACGTGTCTTCTTTTAATAGTATACAGGGTTTAAAAAAAAAATAATTATGGCCGTCAAAAAGCAAAGCAAAGAAGTGGGGGGGGGGGGGGGAAACAGAAAGTTACTATGGCAACTTACGATTGCAAGTCCTGGACTCGCACTCAATCACTGAAGGGAAAGATTGGAGCTTTTGAAATTAAATGTTGTAGAAAAATTTTCAGAATACCGTGGATCGAGAAGAGGGAAAGAACATCGACATTCTACACGAGTTAAACATCAAGGAGAATTGGCTCATAAACAGCAACTTGTCCCAAAAGTTGAAGGGGGCTGGAGAGCTGGCTTGGAAAAGGGATACTTTCAGGTGTGCTGGGAAGAGGACAACGTTCTGTAAAGGACTTGCTGATTGATGATATGGAAGTGGCAACTTGTAAGGCCAGATTTGTCTGGAAAATGTTGGCCAAATGTAGAGAGAGATAGAGATAGATGGATAGATAGAGAGAGAGAGAGAGAGAGAGAGGTGTATATATATATATATATATATATATATATATATATATATATATATATATATATATATATATATATATATACACACAGAGATAGAGAGGGGGAAAGAGACCGAGGGGGGGGGGGGCACACTGCACTATGAATACTATTCGCCCAATTTGTGTAGTTTGAGGCCCAGTTAGCTAACGACACCTACGTGGCTGTGTTAGCGCATTAGATAGGAGACTTGCTTTAAAATCCAGCTGCGACTCGCTGCAGCCCACGGCCGGTGTTCGAAACCGAGCGGTTCCTGGAGTTCACCCAGACTCTAGGTGGCACAGCACTTATGGTTTATAACCGTGTGCAATGACGCTGGTTCACATCTCCCGACTTTACCTTTACCTACTGAAAACTTTGGATGATTACGGTGACGATGTTGATGAGGGTGAAAATGATAATGATGATGATGATGATGATAATGCTGATGGTGATGACAGTGATTTGTGGCTAAGACAAAGTAAAATACTGATGCTGTTAACTTGTGCCTTTCGCAGCTGATGAACAAACTACGACGTCGTCGCTGGCTCTGTATGGTCGTTTTTGTGTTGCTGGTTGTCTGGGTCTGTTTGATCAGTAACAGTGTCATGGTTCGGACAGTGGACACAGGTAATCTGTCTGTCTGTCTGTCTGTCTGTCTGTCTGTCTGTCTGTCTGTCTGTCTGTCTGTCTGTCTGTCTGTCTGTCTGTCTGTCTGTCTGTCTGTCTGTCTGTCTGTCTGTCTGTCTGTCTGTCTGTCTGTCTGTCTGTCTGTCTGTCTGTCTGTCTGTCTGTCTGTCTGTCTGTCTGTCTGTCTGTCTGTCTGTCTGTCTGTCTGTCTGTCTGTCTGTCTGTCTGTCTGTCTGTCTGTCTGTCTGTCTGTCTGTCTGTCTGTCTGTCTGTCTGTCTGTCTGTCTGTCTGTCTGTCTGTCTGTCTGTCTGTCTGTCTGTCAGTCAGTCGGTCCGTCTGTTTATATATATGTGTGTGTGTGTGTATGTGTGTGTGTGTATGTGTATCTCTATGTTTTATTTATTCATACTTCCATTATTCTGTCTGTTCGTCTGAATGGCAATATTTCAGTCTATCTGTTAGCGTGCCTGCCTGTCCGAAGTCTGTCTGTTTTACATGCTACGCAAAAAAAAAAAAAAAAAACATCTGTAAATATTTACAATTTTGATGTGATTTCCTATCTCTTCATTAAATCCTCCTGTCTCATATTCTGTAACTCACAGTGTACACAAGTGTGTGTGTTTGTGTGGGTGGGTGAGTGTGTATGTACGTACGCACGTGTGCGTGTTACCCATCTGCTACATTCAAATACACTATAGATCCGTCTAACTGTTTTAGTTCGTGCTAAAGTTTGCCCTTTTGGAATTAACAACCCGCTGTTTTACACGGAAAGTGTTTCTCGCCTTTAGCATGTTGTCAGCTTCCATTCGCTAATCTAATGCGACAGGCCTGGAATTTTTGGATTCACTTTGTGCTAACCTAGAACTCCGGAACTCCTGTCTCCTCAACTGTTGGATTCACTTTGTGCTAACCTAGAACTCCAGAACTCCTGTCTCCTCTACTGTTGGATTCACTTTGTGCTAACCTAGAACTCCAGAACTCCCGTCTCCTCAACTGTTGGATTCACTTTGTGCTTACCTAGAATTCCAGAACTCCTGTCTCCTCAACTGTTGGATTCACTTTGTGCTTACCTAGAATTCCAGAACTCCTGTCTCCTCAACTGTTGGATTCACTTTATGCTAACCTAGAATTCCAGAACTCCCGTCTCCTCAACTGTTGGATTCACTTTGTGCTTACCTAGAATTCCAGAACTCCTGTCTCCTCAACTGTTGGATTCACTTTGTGCTAACCTAGAACTTCAGAACTCCTGTCTCCTCAACTGTTGGATTCACTTTGTGCTTACCTAGAACTCCAAAACTCCCGTCTCCTCAACTGTTGGATTCACTTTGTGCTTACCTAGAACTCCAGAACTCCTGTCTCCTCAACTGCAGACATCCTAGTCAAGTCTGCTGAGGGTCAATGGCGGGATCAACAGCAGTTCCCACACTGATGAAGCCTAGGTGTGCCGCCACGAAGAAATCATCGGAGGCGGGAGGGGGGGGGTGTGCTGGGCGTTATCGCCCCCCCCCCAACCATGGTACAGATTTTCTAGGCACAGAATTTGGAACTCGCCCTTCTCACGACCTTACCCATTTTCTAAGGCAAATAATTGGGTTGGGAAAGGTCGGAGCACATGGTCACTGAACAACCCCCTCCCCCCCCCCCCTCTTTTTCTCAAATAAAATAAAGGCTTGGAGAATAAACTCCAGCCACCAAATAATTGTCTAAGGGTGCCAAGATGGTGTATCGAAATTATCGTTTTAAGTATCTGTTCACGCATTTCATTCAAAGAATGGAATTATATAATCTTTGTCAGTACGCACATTTAGAAAAAAAAAATTATTATTGTCAGTTTTTATTGTGCTAAATGACAAATAATAATAACAGTATTAACATACTTGGCATAATAGGACACGCATAAATACTTTGAAAAAAAATAATGTCTATGCACTGTTAAAAAAAAAAAAAAAGAAAACGAGGAGGGATGGGGTTCCCTTTTAAAGGACCTTAGCTCCCTGGTTCCAGTGTTTGTACTGTAGACTAGGTCAAACTGAGCACACTGCCAGTGTCACAGCTGTTTCTTCCGTTAGAAGCAGGCAGTGGCAGTTCCAACTTTTCGCAAATGGGTCACTTCGTAATTGATCCGTTAGGTTTGAGTCAAGATGTGCGGGATGTCTTTCCTTCTAGCTTGGCTTAAGACTGTTGATCGAACACCCGACAAGTCGCCATCATAAACCCTCCTTTGTTTTAGAATCAAATTTCTATCTCTAAATGTTGTGATGCCATCGGATGGGAAAAGATAACGAGAAAGATCAAGAGAGACCCTAGTTAGAACCATCGTCAGGGAAGGTTCAACCATGGGCCTAACGAACATTTAGGACCTAAAGCAGGTGGCAACGAACCGTCAGACATAAAGAGCATTAACCTCTGCTCTATGCGTCGTCCAAGACTCAAGAGGAAATACTAACTAACTAAGCCAGCAAAGCCAACAAGGAATGGAAAAGAACAATTAAAACGGACTGCAGTCTCGGCAAAGCCAGCAATATCCGCACGCATTAAAAGCATAAGGCAGCTGTCAGAAGTGCCAACCACAACAGTCATTCAATAGAATTGCAGTTCATTCTCGATGGAAACAGTTACAAAGAAAAACCAACAGTTGCGCGCGGAATATTGCTTACGACGTTAAAGTTCTATGGCAACAAACTATACACCATGTTATGAATTTGCTGTTAAAAGTTTGATGATTATCTTCTTCTTCTTCTTCTATGTGTTCACCGACTGTGACAAGGCTGTCAATGGGTCAGCTCTTGACCACCGGCATGGAACAAAGTATCAAATGTTTCAGTTATTTAAACGAAAAATTCTCCTTTATTCGAGGTCTGAATGCCAACTAACTGCTCTACTAAAATGAGCATGGAAATAGTAGGAACGGAAACAACATCATCATCATCATCATCATAATTTTCATACTCATCATAATTCCTCGTGTATGTTCCAATGCTCCACTCAGGGATAAGAGGGGAGTGGAAAGAATAGACCCATTACTCACTATCAAGCATGTGGTAAAAGCGGAATAATTACGGATGCTTCCTTCGAAGTCAGACATACAACTAAGCCAGATTTGTAAAAAAAAAAATTTAAAAAAAAAAACGGATGTGCACGCAACACTCACGGAACAAGGCTGAAGTCCAGGAGTGGACGAACAACCAGAACTTTCCATCTGAGTTTACAGTCGGTGAACACAGAGAAGAAGAAGAAGAAGAAGATAATCATCCAATTCTGCAGTCACGGGCAGCCATAGCAGATAGTCCAACACTCGAGCAGGGACACTGGCTGTTGTCATTACGTGTGGACGTCCAAAATCTTCAACGTCACCCATCCTTTTTATGCACCTTTCTACTTAGAGGCTGCACTTGCGTTGGTATCTGGCGTTGATATGTATCTAACAGGATGTCCACACCATATGATATTCCGTTTCTCAGTGTATTTAAGGCAAGACGTTATCACAGTCTGACTGATGGTATCGTTTCTCAGTGTATTTAAGGCAAGACGTTATCACAGTCTGTCTGATGATATCGTTTCTCAGTGTATTTAAAGCAAGACGTTATCACAGTCTGTCTGGTGGTATCGTTTCTCAGTGTATTTAAGGCAAGACGTTATCACAGTCTGTCTGATGGTATCGTTTCTCAGTGTATTTAAGGCAAGACGTTATCACAGTCTGTCTGATGGTATCGTTTCTCAGTGTATTTAAGGCAAGACGTTATCACAGTCTGTCTGATGGTATCGTTTCTCAGTGGGTCTCGGATGGTTGGATTGGTGGTTTTCGGGCATTTAATCTCATTATTTCCACAACCACCACCAGCATCATCATCGTATGTCGATAATTTTTAGCTGTCATGTTTTGCCATCTTAACGATCACTAGAATGAGAGATCGGTTCAGTATTCTTGTCTTGCCCTATCCATATGGTAGAGAGCAAATGCTATCGATGCAAAGGGACTGCATTAGCGCAGTCAGTAGGAGGCTCGCTTTAAAATTTAGCTAAAATTCATTGTAGCCCACGGTCGCTGTTCGAAACCGGTCAGTTCCCGGGGCTCACCCAGCCTCTAGGAAATGGGTACCAGAGTTGACATTCTGGGGTAAATCGAGAAACGTCGATGTAGCTACGGAGTTACGTGCGGACGGTGACACAGGCGAACAATTGCTTATCAGCTGTCCGTACTGGTGGCAGAGCACTTATGGTTTATAACCGTGTGCAATGACGCTGGTTCACATCTCCCGACTTCACATATTTTTAAAAATCGAAGCACATCTGTGTAGACAGAGAATGCTATAGATACACAACTGACTACCTTGTGTAGACAGAGAATGCTGTAGATGCACAACTGACTACCTTGTGTGGACAGAGAATGCTATAGATGCACAACTGACTACCTTGTGTGGACAGAGAATGCTATATACTTTGTATGGACAGAAAAATGCTATCGATGCACAGCAATTGACTACCTTGCGGAAAGAGTGCATATTATAGATGTACAACAGCTGACTTCCTTGTCTAAAAAGCTTAAGCTATGTGTACACAACTAAAGCTTAGTTTGAAAGTGGTTTGTTCTGTATGAAATAACTGTTAACAATGCATCAGTTTCTCCAGTGTGTTAGCTACGGTCGTTTGAAAAACGGATTAGATCGTATCGAAATTTGCGAAATCCCACATGTGACAATAGCTTCTCTCCGGGAGAGGAGCCATGCGGCCACACACAACAATAGCGGTGGGAGGGGGGGGGGGGTGTCCCTCAGTCCCAATATATTTTAGAAGAAGAAGAAGTTTAGACCTTGTTAAGTCTGTAATAATAGCAATAATAAAATTTTTTTAAACGAATACATCAAAAGAGTCTATACACTATTGTTTCGAGGCCTTATTTTTCTAGGGATACTACAGCGGTGGTTTCCACTGGACTTCTGCCGGTTTGTGTATGGTTTCACTTTAATAGCCTTTGTCTAAAGAGACTAACCCTGCAAGG